CCTGGTTTATAAATTTGTCATAGTTATCAAATACAACGTTATACGGATATTTATTTACGTATTTAATTTTTTATTTAATCATTTATTTATTCTCGTCTACACTTTGTATATGCATTTATTTAATTCTATATACAGATCCATTTACGTTTTAGTAGTCAATTGACCAAGATACTTCTTTCAATTAATTATTTTTTTTATGTAAGGTCGTAAAGTCTTGGTTGAGATAAAAAAGTCAACGTCACGAGGGGGATTCGAGCCCACGACCTTCGGCTCAATACGCCGCTGCTCTACCACTTGAGCTATCGCGACTTTGATCCTCTCGGACACCAACTCTCCATCTCAACCTACAACCGTTGGAATTTTCCCTCTTTTTGTCATTTTCTATATACAGACTTCATCGTTCTCCATGTGTGTGGTGATTAGTGATCGTTAATCGATAATTATTCAGAAATCGTGACATGCGGTCTGGTGTGATTTGAGCCCTGAAGATGATCTCAATAAAGATCGAAACGTTGGCACGATAAAGAAAATGTTTTTCTGAAACCTACATCACACAAGACCGCATCTCACGATTTCTGAATAATTATCTCAGCATGTGGTTTTTTTGAACATATTTTTCCCCACAAATCATTATGGAATTTCTCTTATCTCTATAAAAATGATTTAAGTAAATAGTAGGAAGCCATAGTGATACGTCACTTTCCCTACATTCTAAAAGTATTGAATATACTTTATTGCACATGTACAAATAAAAATTTATTCTATTCTATTTTATTCGTATTAAATCAAAAACAAAGATACTTTTTTTTAATTTGAGTGTATTTTTTAACATATAATTGGTTTTTATATAAAATACAACATAAAATTAATTATAAAAATAAATGATTGTTGTATTAATTAAAGTGATTTTTTAATGTGTGGTGATTAATGACCGTTAATCGATAATTATTCAGAAATCGTGACATGCGATCTGGTGTGATGTAGGGTTCAGAAAAACATTTTCTTTATCGTGCCAACGTTTCGATCTTTATTGAGATCATCTTCAGGGCACAAAGTGTGTCACTCAGAGAGGGCACTCTCAACACGACACGCAAGAATGGCACAATTACACAGAAGACAAACACTTCGAGCCCTGAAGATGAGCTCAATAAAGATCGAAACGTTGGCACGGTAAAGAAAATGTTTTTCTGTAACCTACATCACACCAGACCGCATCTCACGATTTCTGAATAATGTTTTTTTTATTTTTGCTTTATGCCGAGGCAGATCTGCCATGCCAAAAATAAAAAATAATTAGTGTATATTTTAAATTTTAAAAATCTCGAATTAATAGAAGATTGCGTATCACTTCTTGCAGTCCACAGACCAAAAATTTTTCTTGAAATCGGTATTTTTCATTCGGAGCCTCCCTTAGTGGGTTAGGTTCGTGTTTATTTTTAATCTTGCCTTTTCGGTATGGATCGATCCCTATATAATCCTTACAAAAATGACGGTGCGTTTTATTCTCCAGCGTACACAAATTCCACCTACATCGAAGATTCATGAAGGCAGTTTGATCAAAATCAATCGTGACTATCGGACATTTTTATAATGAAAAATTTATTTCCCCCCCCCCAGCCACGGGTTTGAAATGCGATGTGAAAAAGTTCTCGGAAAATTTAGACGTTCGGCCGAGTGGTAATTAAAAGCAAACCTTTGTATTATTTGACGTCTAAAATTCATCCCGAGCCCGTTTTGTTGAACAAGATGAAACTCGACTGGAGAACATTCCCCGCCGCGGTGCTTGAATGTTAACTATCCTCTCGCATGAAATCTGGGAGTTCAACTGTGCAAATATCGCTCAGAGGCGGACCGATATGGGTGAGGATGTAAATATTTGTACGGAACTCAACTTGTCATATCTGCGTTATTAAATTTATTTATAAGGACGAAATTGGGCGTTCTTTGAGAATAAAAACACCTTCCGACCATAGATGTATTAATTGTCAAGACACCCCAAATAAAATTCTATACCTCACAGTGCCAACAAACTCAACAGAATGAGTGTGAATTTTATATTTTTATTATTTGGTACATAGTTATTAGACAAGAAAAGTCTGTGCGTTCAGCATCTTGTTTTTTATAGCTGCGGAAGGTGGCTTGAGGTTGCGTGTCTGCCTATCGTTTCGATATGGTTGTTGTTTCTTGCATGTTTTTGTGCACTTTACGAATCTCATTTATGTGCAGGTAGTGTTTCAATCCTGTGCATGATAATACGTTTAAGGGGTGAAGAGGAACCTGAAGTCGTAATACTTCAAATTCTTCCAGTCAGCCCTGTTATCACTCCCAAAAACCACATCCTTGTGCCGTGTCCTAAGAAGAGAAATATGTAAGTTCAAATCTTCACTTTAGCACGAGCAATAACTATGACGTCATTACTAGACTAACACGATAGACAGTCTTTGCTTCAAAAACAAAACCGTCATACCGATATGGACTTATTATTAGATCCAGACAGCTCGCCAAAGCATCCAGCAACTACAGAACCCCTTCTAGTTCAAACCCGTCCTTGGTATCTACAGCTAAAACTTCTTTCTTTGTCGATCTGTCCCACCCATCATTTTGGTCTCAACATTGTTTACGTTACACACGCCATAATTGCATATCCTGACAATCTACGCCTGTGGCCACGCGATCTCATCAAAAGTGACATCCGGTCAGAACTGTACGAGTCATATATTATACTACTGTGGAAAAACAAAACATTATTTCGACATGGAAGTGTGGGGTACCACCAAGCTATCTAACAACCAAATAGTCCAAGTATTCCAATCAACATTGCTCAGAAGAATTCTACGTCAAAGAATTTATCTGTTCCCGCATACACAATCTTTCAACCTATCCTAAACCTACTGCTCCTGCCTACTCCACTTCTTCCCATGTTAAGAAACCTCCACGTCGTCTCAAACGACGATGGCCCCGAGACCTCCTCGCCTGAACCCGATAACAAACTGTTCTTCTCATAACACGTGTCCTCCGGGTGCAGTAATGGCACTAGCATTAGTGTTTTGCCCGAGATTTTATAACGTTAAGATTTAATTAATACGTACAAAATACAAATAAATATTATTATAAAAAAAGATGGTACAAATATTTACTCGATGTACTTCATCCTAAAGCAATAAATGTCTAATATGTCCAATATATTAAAATAAAGACAAATGTTTTCACTATCGTTGGCATTTTCAAAAGGCCAGATGTAACAGAAAGTAACAACTTTTGTAGATTAGCAAATTGTTAAATTCGTCTGGAGTTCGAATATTTTCTATAACCCATTGCTTACGTCAATGTAAACATTTTTATGTATTAATAGTTAATTAGAAATCTTATCATTTATCATCTTAAATTTATCATTTTAAAAAATTATAAAAACAGAAAATTTGTAAACACCAAGACGCTGGAGGGAGAAACAGGTCATTTTCAGCAAGACGTCCTAAAAACCGTCAGTCGCTCCCTGTACGCACGAACGTACATCAGCTGTCTTCAGTGAGTCGCTCCCTGGGTTTCAACCTGTACGCACGAACGTCCCTTTGGCTTCGTCCGGCGAGTGGCTCCCAGACTCCAATCACGATAAACACGAACTAATCTTCTGATCTTCACTGTTGTGAGTCGACAACATAAGTTGTTTCTGGCCAGATTTTATTTTCGGTATTTTTATCCACTAAATCCTTTACGCAACAGCCGGCAACTATCCCTGGTAGCGCCCGGACTTGGAGGGTAGATACCCAATACTTTCTCCCGTCGGCGTCTACGAAACACCAATTACAGTTCGAGTTCTGATTGACCAATTAATTATTATTTCTGAAAGGTATTGGTTGAGATAAAAAATCAGTGTCACGAGTGGGATTCGAACCCACGATCTTCGGCTAAATACGCCGCTGCTCTACCACTTGAGCTATCGTGACTTCGATCCGATCGTGTCATCTCAACCTCACCTCTCGAATTTTCCCTCCTTTTTGCCATTTTTCAAATGCCGTGTAATCTATGTGATTCCCGGCGACAAATGAAATGGCCACGGAGAGCTTTCATGAAGATATAATTCAGTTTAAGTATTAATTCCATTACAGTTCGTGGTCCGATTGACCAATTAACATTTTTTAATTAACATTCCAATGAAATTAAATAGATGGCAAGTTGGTGTCCGAGGGATCGAAGTCACGATAGCTCAAGTGGTAGAGCAGCGGCTAAAGCCGAAGATCGTGGGTTCGAATCCCGCTCGTGACACTGACTTTTTACCTCAACCAATACTTTAAATAAAGATTAATTAATTTTCTACAACCTACAATGAACTTGCAATTAGCAGATTAAGTGAGAATAGGCGGACCGAAGTTGTCCTTGCAAACAGAAATGTGCAAAAGAATAACCTTTCAACAGAACATTTTAATGAAATTAAATTTGTTTCTTCTATTCATATCTTTTGTTTTATTTTTTATTTTTTGAATTAATTCACTTATATTTATTTATAGGTTAAATGGGGAATGCTGGAGGTGTAGGAGGCAATGCTCCCGGATATGATTAGTAAATTCATAAGTTCGTCTATAGTTCGAATATTTTCAATAAAATGTAATCAACTTGCAATTAGCAGAACAAGCGAGAATAGGCGGACTGAAGTTGTCCTTGCAAACACAAGTTTAACAATTTAACACAATTAAATCCATTACATTTAGTGGTCTGATTGACCAAATTACTTTTTTCAATTAATTAATCTTTTTTATGTAGGGTTTTGGTTGAAATGAAGTTAGTGTCACGAGCGGCATTGGAACCCAGCCGAAGGTCGTGGGTATCCGTAACACTAACTTTTACATTTCAACGAAAACCTCACATAAAAAAATGATTAATTTAACACAATATTAAAGAATCACCTTTCAAGAGATCATTTTAATGAAATTAAATTTTTTCGTCTATTCATTTTGTTTTATTTTTTATTATTTTTCAATTAATTCAATTATATTTATTTATAGGTTAGATGAGGAATGCTGGGGGTGTGGAGAGGTGGCAATGCCTCCGGATATGATGGACAAGTCTGTCGCCACCGACGGCGACTTTCAAGGAGATGTAAGTAAAATCTTTTTTTAAATTGTATATCGTCTATTTTTTATAAACGTAAATTCGCTTCTTGTAAAGCGGGAAGAATCGTTCTATTGGTAATTAGCATAATACTAGGGAAGAACAAGGAAAGGGATCCGTCGGTGATTGCGACCGTTCCGAGCCCCTTTAACTCCTGTTTAACAACCCTCTAACTTATCCAACCCCCGACACGAAAACTCAGCAGTTTCTCCTATTCGTCGACACTCCTCTTACCGATTCCACCCTCCTGGCCCCTTTTCTAATTGAATGCAATTTTCCAACTATTTAACTATTTATTTATCCGTGCTGTACGTAATATTTTATATATTCCACTATACACGAGAATCATAAAAGAGAAAGAAGATAAATGACAGAAGGATAAAAAAGAAAAACAGACAATATTCAGAGATAATAACATAAAAAATGAGTTATAAATAAAATAATTACCAGAGAAAGAGATAGAGAGAGGAGAAACAGAGAATAGAAGATAATTTCCAGAGCGAGAGAGAAAAAAATAATTCGTAGAATGATACAAAAAATAATTAATATAAAGAAGTTCAAAAGAAAGAAAATATGAACAAAGTGAGATGTTTACATCTATTACAAAACTGCAGGGAAAAGGGATAGTAAGTAATAAATCTAATTTGATGAAGTTGTGAGGAGCGGGCAAGAATGGGGTAGTTTAGAAAAACATTTTTTTATTCATTTTTTCGATATTTCGACCTTTATTCGGATCATCTTCAGAGCATAAAGGGTAGTACTATTCTTGTGAAGCCATATTGTGATCAATGTTTTTTACACAAAACCAATATGACACCGCTAGAATAGCACCACACTTTAAGCCGTGAAGATGACCCGAATAAAGGTCGAAACGTCGGTAAAAAATGAAAATGGTGTTTTTCTATACTACCTCATTCTTGAACCTTGCTCACGACTTCAACAAATTATGAAACAACAGGTCACTAAGAAACACACACGTAAGTAATAAAATCAAGTCGAAAAGTGTGATAAAAAATTGCGTCTATAGATAATTATATAGAGGGTGAGAAAAATTAAAAAAGATAAGTAGGCAGAGAGCAAGAGAGAGTGGAGATAATAAGCAGCACAAAAAGCGAGCATGAGTTAATATGATATATAATATTAGATATATAATATTGAAAAATAATAAAATTAATAAAAAGAAGTTAAAAAAAAGAAAGTATGAACAAATGAGATATTTACGTTCTTTAGAAAAGTGTAAGCAAAAGAGATTGAAAATAATAAAATCGAGCAAAAAATGTGATACAAATAAATGTAAAGAGGGAGAGAAAGATAGAGAGATTTTAATAAGCAACACAAAAAGCCAGAATGAGTAACAGAAAGATATATAATAGTGAAAAATAACATAATTTATAGAAAGAAGTTGAAAAGAAAGAAAGTATGAAGAAAGTGATATGTTTACATTCTTTAGAAAAGTGCAAATAAAAGAGAAAATAAGTAATAAAATCGAGTCAAAAAGTGTGATAAAAAATTACGTTTAAAGATTGATATGTGGAGGAGAGAAAGAGAGGGGAAGATAATAAGCAACAAAAAAAAGCGAGCATGAGTAACAGAAAGAAATATAATAGTGAAAAATAAAATAATTAGTAGGAAGAAGTTAGAAAGAAATAGATTATGAACAAAGTCATATGTTCATATCCTTTAGAAAAGTGCAAGCACAAGAGATAGTAAATAATAAAATCAATTTAAAAAGTGTGATAAAAATATTGAGTCTACAGATAGAAATAGAAAGAGAAGGAAGATAATAAGGAACTTAAAAAAAGGGAGAGTGAGTGACAGAAAAAATAAAATAATTAAAAGAGGGAAAGTGTAATAGAAAAAAGAGAAACAGATGTTCATAGGAAAGGTATTATCAGAGTGAGATAAATAGAGAAAGAAGAAGAAGTAAAGAGTGATTTATTGATTTCCCAAAAAGAAGAAGAACGGTAAAGACATCAAACCAAAAAGAAGGTAAAAAGAAACAATAATTAACACAAAAAAGGAGAAAGAAAGTGAAAAAGTGATATTGAGAGATAAAGGGAGAAAGAGAGTGAGATGATAATTAAATATTTCCTATTGGCATTTTATATATTTTATTCTATTGTATGAGATATTTATGTCGATACTTCCATAGTTGTCAGATTTACAGTCAGTTGAACAAGCAAGATCAATACTTTACCAAGTCCTGTCCTACACATTAAATATACTATTTTTATTGTTAAAATCTAGACAAACAATATGGGAAATTAAAAATATACAAAATATAATACTTTTCCTTGTTTTATTTTCTTTTTTAAAGGTTACACCACATATCGTCATACGTGTAAATTATAGTACAATGTCACCCGTTGAACAACCAGCCAGGAGTAATTCAATCTATATTCAAATAATAATATCACCGTTCCCTCTGGAATTAATTTTCTTCAAACAGAATACTTGGAAGGAAGAGGAGCGAACTGGAACCCTTGTAATTAAGATCCGAAGATAACTCGGCCAACTCCTAGGTCGAGATGACAGCAAAGCAAACAGCTTTTAATTAGCTTCTGTTGTACAAAACTGGATGCTTTTCATATCTTTGTTCAATTAGCAAGAACCGCGGGATCTTACACGAAATCCCGACGCCCTCATTCGAAAAGAATCCAGTAATAAATTATGAGCACGAATATTTTCGTTTTAACGTTTAAAACGAACAGTTGTTTGTTATAAAACTTAATTTCAAACATTAAGGAATTTAAACCAAAAATATTAAGGCTTGCCTTTATTAATAATAATTTAAAAAAATGTTAAGAGAAAAGGTAATCTAGTTGTTCTGTTGCAAGAAGAAAAGCAAAAAAAGCTCATGTTCATCAGAAAGAGCCCTCATTAAAACAGGCTTATAAAAAAAGTTTTAAACACCCCTCTCCCCAGAAATATCTCTCTCTACCTCTCTCACTCTCACTCTCTCTCTCTCTCTCTCTCTATCTATCTAATCTATCTATCTATCTATCTATCTATCTATCTATCTATCTCTCTCTCTCTCTCTCTCTCTCTCTCTCTCTCTCTTTCTATTTATCTATCTTTTCTTATATTCGACCTCAACAGTTAATCTTATGATTTTTCCTTCTTGAAGGTGGGATAATAGGTCATCTCAAAAAAACCACAACCAGTTTTTATCCACAACGTTCGGATTTATTTTAATCCTTCCTCAGGTGAGTTAACGCCTGTACACAGAACTAATATTTTTTACACTTTTAGATCAACATGGTTATCATTGTTTCTTCACTACTTACAATGGTTAAAAAAGTGGTCGTCCGTCATTAATATTTTATAACAGTTTATTTAAAAAAATAGCCAGTGTGGTACTTATTCAGACTACGAAAAAACGTTTTAATATTTTGAACCTGACTAGACTCTTATCACAACCTCTATAGTTCTACCTCTATCTAGTTGATCTAAAAATGTAAAAAAATATTTGTTCTGTGTACAGGCGTTAACTCACCTGAGGAAGGATTAAAATAAATCCGAAACGTTGTGGATAAAAACTGGTTGTGGTTTTTTTGAGATGACCTATTATCCCACCTTCAAGAAGGAAAAATCATAAGATTATCTATCTATCTATCTATCTATTTATCTCTCTCTATCTATCTATTTATCTAATCTCTCTCTCCATCTTTCTCTCTCTCTCTCTCTCTATATATATATATATATATATATATATATATTTATCTCTCTCTATCTCTATCTCTATCTATCTATTTATCTCTTTCTTTCTCTTTCTCTTTCTTTCTGTTCTCTCCCTTTTTGTCCCCTTATTTTGTTTTTTGTTACACATTCTCGCTTTGCTAATTATCTCCCTCTCTCTCTCCACTCTGTTTCTCAATTTCTACCTCTTCTGCTATAAACAAAGTATGAATTTCTAAAAATATAAGGTTACTTACTACGTTGCAAATATGAGCTCTTATTGAGAATAAAGCAAATCCATTTTTTCTCTGTTATCTGTGGTTTTTTACGTGTTCTACGTTTCTTCTCTGGTTTTCTTTTATCTAAATTATCTATAATTATTTAAATAATTAGACGCCCAGTAAACAGGTTTCAATCAATCGGGACATCAGGAGGTTAACGTACATCTCAAATTGGACTAAAAAATCTCAACTACTTCAACCTTTCACAACCTTTCTTCCGTAAACCTCTCTATCTCATAAAATAGTAACCCTGCAGTTAATTTAATTGCACAAATGAAATGAGCTTTGAATGCCCTATATTGCTTAAACATGAATATAAAATAGTCGATAACAAACAAAACAATGACATAAATATGATAAAACATGACTAAGTCGTTAAATACAGGAATGATAAATTTATTCAGATCAATTCGCTTTCGTCCCTGAAGTCCTGTTAGTCTCTTTTTTTAATCGCCCATTTATCGTGTTCTTTTTCTTTTTTTTTTTTTTTTTTTTTTACTATTGTCTGGAATTTTTTTTAAATTGAACGTTTATTCATTATTTCCGTACATATATAAAATTTGTTTGGACTGAATACGAGAGGGAGAAAATACTCGATTTCTTTTGTTCAACATCCAGCAGCACCACTACACGACTCCATCTGATTTTAATTAGTGCTAAAAAGGGTGGAGGGTGAGAAACCCCCCGGGTCGAAAGGGTTCAACTAAGGGGGTCTCTTCCAGGTTAATTGAGACGAGTTTAACGGTGTACTTTCATCTCTAAATAAATAATAATAAAAATGTTTATGAGTAAAAAGAAATATTTAAAAAATAATCATACAGAACTAGTAATATAAAATCATACAACTGGTGTATAATAAATAAAATGTTCTAGAAAACATTATTTGTATTATAGACAAAATGTAAAGAATCTTATAACAGTAGAATAAAGCTAAAACGACTGCCTCTTGAACTGCTTTTATTCCAGTACAGTCTAGATCTCACAGCCGATCTAGTCGTCGCACTATTTGCTCTGTAGTCTCAAGGCAATGAGCTAAGCCCGTTTATTTACCTTGATTACCTAACCGATTTCCGTTCACATGAAAACGTCTCTCCCTACAAAGACGACGTAGCAGTTCTAAGCTCGGCTAAAACCTGTGAAGGGGTACAACGGAAGTAGGAAGGTTACGACTCTGCGCTCTACTCTCTCGGCAGGAGGGTAGGAAGGTCGCAGAGTTCTGCAGCTCTTCTGAAAGGATGGAACTACCAGGATTACTGGGTGTCTGTGGGCAGGAGAACAGGAAGGTACTATGGCTCTTCCAATAAAAGGGGTGGATCGAACATGCCTAACAGGTGTCTCTCGAAAGGAAGGTAGGAAGGTCGCAGAGTTATACAGCTCTTCTGAAAGGATGGATCGACCAGGATTACTGGGTGTCTCCTAGGCAAGAAGGTAGGGAGGTGGAAGCGTACTGTGGATCCCCGGAAGAAGAGTTGGATCGACCAGGCATATTGGTTACCTTTGGGCATGAAGCTAGAAAGGTACTGCAAATCTTCCGAGAAGGGATTGATAGACAAGGATCACTGGGTGTCTTGGCAGAATTTGGAAGATAGGAAGGTGAAACCGTACTGCAGAGATTCCGGAAAAGAGTTGGATTGACCAGGCATACCAGGTGTCTTTAGGCAAGAAGTAGGAAGGTTCTTCGCTATCTGCAGAGACCACTTGTTCGTCCGCACTCACCTGCATTAAAATATTCCGGGATTTGATCCAATACTTAGCTGTAAGTACCGTGTGTTCTGCACGTTCTCAGATTCCTCCTTTTCTCTCTAAATGATCGCGGAAGTTATAAAATTATGACAAAGATAATTCTAGTCGGGGTCAGCCGTTAGGTACAAATACCATGTTTTCTAAGTCATTACTTCCACCCTTGCTAAATATCGTTATTTTAATCTCACCTCTGTACAATGTTATAAACCTTGTGCTTTTTCTTCCAGGGGGAATGGAAGAGGGTACAGCTGGAGTGGTTGTTGGCCGCCCTGGTCGACAGCAAAGTAGTCGCGATGAAAGCGGATTCAGGATACATGAAGTACCACGCCCAGTACCATCATCAGAAATCAGGCCTTCCTAGACACCACCATCACCACCACTGCAGGTTGTCGATCTGTTGATAAATTTCATCAATTTTTTTATTTAAAAAGCCATATTTGATATTTCAAATTGCTTTGTGATTTAAATATATTTTAACGAAGATAAAAGAACCTCGTTATATAATAATGAAAACATTTTCTGTATTTGCTCAGAAATGTCTTTCTTTACCGGGAGCCGTCTCTTGATTACGAGAAGCTACATTAACTATCTTCATTAATCAGATTCATTCCAAATCATTAAACAACTGCCATCAGTTACTCTTTCTCTACAAAATACACAATGGCCATTAATTTTTTAATTTGACAGGCTTTATTTTGGCAAATCCTTTTACTTTTAATCAAATCTTAATTATATATTGCTACATGAGCTTTTTAATGTTTTTTTTTATGTGAAAACAGAAACGTTACGTTATCTTTCAATTACCCAACCAGATTCCGACCAAACGGGAAAAAGATATTTTTTTTAAATGCACGTTTTTTAATCCATCCGAAAGGCTTGAAAAGCAGGCGTGGATTATAAAAAGCTTCATAATTGCTCAAACGCTTTTTATTTTGACATTTTCGCATATTTTTTTTTTTATGGTTTTTTTATTATTTAAAGAGAGATGTACTAATTAATTACACCAAAGTGATAAATCACACCAAGTGAACCAGGACGTCTTGAACAAATGCGATATGGTCGAACATCAGACAAAATTATACATTAATTATAAATTAATCTTTTTATGTAAGGTTTTGGTTGAAATGAAAAAGTTAGTGCTACCAGGAGCGGGATTCGAACCCACGACCTTTGGCGCAATACGCCGCTGCTCAACCACTTGAGCTATCGTGACTTCGATCCATTCGGACACTAACTTCCCATTCCGAATTTTCCCTCCTTTTCGCCATTTTTACAAATACCTTACATAAATAATAATTAGTTGAAAGATGTTATTTGGTCAATTGGACCACGAAATCTGATGAATTTAATAAATTATAAATTTTACTAACCTGTCGTTAATCTAACCCTTGAGTTGAAGCAGTACTGTTCCGAGGGGGTCTTCCTGGGGATTTCTCAAGTATGGTAGTATGCCCGGGTATGGCACTTGGGTCTGCTGTGGAAACTTGAGAAAATACTTCCATCCTCATCCTCAAATCTTACTTTCGATCGTAACGTTCATATATCCCAAGATTTCCTTAGCTATTTATCCTAAAACTGATATTCCTCCAGAAACGATTCTCGCACTACGCCTATATCCCCTTAACATAGCTGACGATCCCTTTCACCGATGTCATCCTCACTCATTGCCTCCTCTCTCCATCAAAATCACCACAGCTTGAAACCATGGACTGGCGGTTGGAGAATCAAGATCAACGAAAACAATCCCTCCAGTTTTCACCTTAAGCAAAAAAACTTCATCCAATTTTCTGGAGGACAGCACACGCTCGACTAAAACAAGCAGACTATATAGAGAAAAAGAAAGACCAAAGCAGTTAAACTGATGCTAAAGACCCAAAAAATATTAATAAAATCAAACTAAAACTTTTTCATTTCAATCAATACCTTAAATAAAGATTAATTAATTGAAAGAATTTATTTTATTGTTGATATTTCAAAGTGCATTTTAAAACTGTTTCAGGCATAAGGGGCATTCTAGAAAATCGGCGCTGTGCAAAGTGAGGCAGTGGGATGATGGTTCCGCCATGTTAGTATCACAGTCAAAGAGGCTGTAAGTGTTAATTTTTTCAGTTAATATTTGCCCTTTAGGAGAAAGGACATCTGCACGGCATCGCCCATCTTCACCCTTCTTCAGCAACATCACCACACACTTATTGACCATTTATCACCAGCGGGACAAACGCTGACAAATAGCATGGCCATCAATTAGCTCTCACTCTTACCACTTCACCCATTCTTATCTTCAGTTTGATTTACCGCTCATTTCAAAACCACCTCGCTGTTTCTCTTTTCGCCCTTTCGACACACTTTTCTCCATTTGTAAAGATTCTTGTTATTATTGTCAAAGTCGGGCACACCTCTCACCAAAAACAATTGCGGCTATTGGCTTATTGACGGGGAAATGTTTGGCTAATGATTTTCTTCAATTTAAAAAACACCAAACTTTGATGAGAACTTTGATGAACTTTGAGCTTTGATTTTTTTTTATTACATTTACTGATATTTACCACTACAAATATTGTATTAAGCAAATATGTTCAATGGGTGGCCGCAACGGTTTAGGCGTTGACACGGCGCTCATCACTGTAAGGTAAAGGTCTCGGGTTCGATTCCAGCTGCCCTGCATTCGAACCCGACATACAAATGGGCTTTTTTTCAAAAACACCGGCACCCTGAGGGTTTATATGACCTCTTTTGTTGCGAACCCTCGGAAATAAAACACGATGTAGTTGAGTTGTCGAGTGAAATGTGCGGACTCTAAACTGATGATCTGAAATAATATTAGAATTTTCAATCAATGGCAATCGTCGGAGAAGTAGTTTTTCTAGTATTTTGGCACGGATAGAAGGAGACTAACGGGTCGATAGGAATTTGGAATATCATAAGGTTTATCTGGCTTATGAATCATTTTAATTATAGAGAACTTCCATTTCAATGGAAAATATGTGGTCCTGAGTACAGCGTTGTATACGTATGTTAAGTATAGTAAGCCTCTGTGGGGCAAATTTTGTAATTGTTTTATAATTAGATCATAACCTGGAGCTTTACGTGAGGGTAGTTGTTTAATAGTCGTATGTCTCATGGAATAAATGCTTTAGGAGGAGGGGAGAGTTGCAAGGGGAAATTCAAGTCGTGTTCACTGTTATACTGATGATCATGATCAAGTATGTCATGGTGTGCAGTGTTGTGGAAACATACTCTGAAAACCGGTCTCTGAAAAAAGATACTCTAATGCCAGCACTGCACCGGTAGAACACATGCTTTGAGGAGCCGGCCATTGCTGGCACTCAGTGTGTATGCCTAGGTATCAAGGAGGTCCCGAGGCCATCGTCGGTTGAGGCGACGTGGTGGGTTGTCAGGGTGGGAATGAATGGATAGCGAGCAGTATGGTTAGGATGGTTTGAAAGGTTGGTATGGAAGGTTTGGAATCTGGACTGGATTAGTTCGTTGGCAAAAGGAATGTTGAGGTCTTTGTGGATAGTGTGGTTAGTGACATAATAAAGTGCCTTAACAATTTGTTTAAGGACATTCGATTGGAAGGACTGGATGCGCTGGATTTTGGAAGGCTTGGCAGTGCCCCACAGTTCTACTCCGTATGTCCATATTGGTCTTAATAAAGTCTTGTATAGTGTTACTTTTGTCTTAATTGTCAAAGTCGATTTCGGTCTTAAAAGTTTTCGTAATAGTCCAAGTCTTGTATTAAGTTGCTGTTTTTTAAGTCTTGTGTGGGGATTCCACGTCAGTCTGCTGTCGAGATATAGTCCCAGGTATTTGACTTGAGTGGAAACTGGTATCTCTTTGTTGTTGATGTACAATGGTGGGCAAGACTGCTTTTTCAGCGTAAAAGTACACTGAGTGCATTTTTTTCGTTCAGTCTTGTCCTCCATTTACACCAGTCTTCGATAAGCTCAAGGTGTTCCTGGATGTTGGAGGTAGCTTGGACAGAATTCAAGTCACAGGATAGGATTGCGGTGTCGTCCGCGTAGGTGGTGATAATAGTGTCAGGATGTGTTGGTAGGTCAGCAGTATAAATGATATATAGGAGGACCAAGGATACTACCTTGCGGTATACCGGCCTGTGTCAAAACAATCTAGTAGTCGGAATTGGATTTCGCTAATTTTTAAAATCTAGAACAGCATTTTTGGTATTCTGTGCGATTTTTTTTTTTTAAATTGTAGTGTGTTTGATCTTAATGCTGTACATACAACAGGATGGTTCGGCGTTATTAGATAGAACCTTGGGAGACTTATTGATCTAGGTCCGATGAAGAATTATCGATGCACGTATTGTAAGTCATCTCGGGAAATGTTATCCATTATTCAATCGTTTGGACTCACAAGAATCTCGGGATTGTTGAAAAGTGCGCAGGAACCTAGTGATTTCAGGGAAAGAAATTTGACGGATCGCTTGTCAAGCCGGTCATCACTTTCCAGTCACCACTTTTACGGATCGTTCCTTCATCGATTAATCACATGTGATGAAAAACGAATCCCATCAAAGAATTTAAAAGCTTGTAAAAAAAAAGCTTACTGTGACGTTCATTTCTTCCAAAGGGAACAGATTCGCTGTCTTTCTTGCATTTTTATCGTTTTATCATCAGGTTCAATAATCAATACTGAACTATATTGTAAACAATAAACGCATTGGGATAAAAATAAAATAATAAACACTAAAAAAAACCTAGGCCAACAGAAAAGTCATCGTTCATCGTCAAAGTGAAGCCCCAGTGGCTAGGAAAGAACAAAAATCAAATATTATTATTTCAGCCTATTTTCCAAACACGTCATTTTCCTAATGAGAGAAGATTAGAAGAGCTTAATTTTGGCAATATACTTTTAAGGAGAATTTTTTCTTATATTTTGAACCTGATGGGAAATAAAATAATTGGTCGATGTGATGAGTCTTTTTGAACTGGTTTGCCAAGTTTTAGGAAGAGGATGATGTTCGAATGTGTTCACAGTAAGGGAAAATGTTTAGTGCGGAATTTACAATTGTAAAGGTATGTGAAGAATAAAATGGCTTTTTGAGGAAGTTGGAAAATTTAGTATGTAATTAGGTCAAAACCAAGAGCTTTGCGGTTCTAATAATAATAAGCACTTATAATCTTGTTTTTTAAGTATATTCAGCTATTGTAGAAGGAGTTTTTGGATATTTATAAATATAATCAATATATAAAGTATTTGGATAATATTGACACTAATAAATTAATATGTTAAAATTGTTTTAGGTCTAGTGTGAAGTTATTGCATTTTAAGAAGCAAAGGATAATTAAACATCGTAAGAAATTACTTCGGAATTATGTTTAGAAGTGGTGAAGTCGGAAAGGGCTTAATTTTCCTGATGAAAGTAAATTATTAAATCGAACGCCTTCCACTTCCTAGTCTCCGTCTCGGTTAATTTCTCCAAAGGCATCAAATTCCATGATTGAAAAAGTTGGCTTCTCGCCATTAAACTTTATCATTTGTTGACTGGGGTTCAATTGGCGTTGCTGGGCCGTTTTCACCGCCCGGTGGGTTCGTTTCGACTCAGCGCTTGAGTGTAAAGTTCGCAAACGGACTTCAGATAGAATCTATGAAACTGGGGCTAACTGAAAATAGTACAAAACAAAGTTGCTTTCGGCCCAGTAACAACTTATTGGTGAAAAACAAATCGCAATTGCTTAATACACCCATTTACCCAACAACTAAAACGAAAAAATTTCAAACTATCAAAGCCAGCGAGGATAGAAGGACCAAAATAATAACCAAATTATTTTAAAACTTTTTATTTTATTGTTTTTTTTTATTTTTTTTATAAAACTTAATGTGAAACAGTTCCCCATCGTTGTTCTTACGTTTGATAACGAATTGTCGTCTTCGTTATTTTAACCTCGTGTTGCTCAAAGCTGTTTCGTAATTCGATTACGACCCCGACCGAAATTTGATCAACCATCAGTTTTCCCGTCAATGGCCACGGCTTTGGGCAAACCGCCGCAAAAATTCTATTCCAAACGCATACCTGTTCAATGTTTCTAGCATGCCGACCAGCATTAATATACTAATTTATACATAATTTATACTCTTGATATATTCTAAAGAAAACTTTGATATAAAGTAATACTTATTAAATATTACAAATTTTCGAATACTTAACAAGACATTTCAAACAAAAATATACCAAAAAAACTACAACTTCGGTAAGTATAAATATGTAAAATCAATCAAAAGCGATAAATAATCATTTGTTATTAAAACTTATCGTCTTACAAGGGGTAGGCTTCAACATTTATGGGGAGGGGGACATTTTATGCTTATACTACAATAAAAAATATTAGACGTGTGCGATCGTTCTTGCAAATGTGCCCTTGGAGCAGTGAAACAAATTTGAATAATTTTTACTAATATTTTTTTGCCTTTCTTGGGAATAATGGTTTTTATACGTAGTTTATGCGCAGATGGAGATTATTAAAACTATAAAAACTTACGAAAATGAACAGACAGAAGTAGAACAAAAATACTTTTTTAAATTCTGATTGGTTCACTTAATTTCGTGGTCCGCTTAACCAATTAATTACAATTAATTAAGGTTTTTAGTTGAGATAAAAAAAGTCAATGGCACGAGCGGGATTCGAACCCACGATCTTTGGCTAGATACGCCGCTGCTCTACCACTTGAGCTATCGTGACCTCGATCCACTCGGACACCAACTTCCCATCTCAACCGCCCCTTTTTGAATTTTCCCTCCTTTTTGCCATTTTTCAAATGTCGTGTAATCGGATTGGATTCTCGACGACAAATGAAATGGCCACGGAGAGCTTTAGTGAAGGATACTTCATTTTAAATCATTAAATTCATTAATTTCCGCTTGACCAATTAATATATTACAATTAATTAAGGTTTTTAATTGAGATAATCGAGTGGATCGAGGTCACGACAGCTCAAGTGGTAGAGCAGCGGCGTATCAAGCCGGAGATCGTGGGTTCGAATCCCGCTCGTGCCATTGACTTTTTTATCTCAACTAAAAACCTTAATTAATTGTAATTCTGATTGGTATTAAGCATTAAAGCCCTC